AAGGACGCTATTGATGTATTCACCTAGGGCTTCAACTTTATCAACATCATTGCAACAACTCAGTACAGATAGGCCTTTTAGCGACATGGCGAAAATTCAATGTGTTACCTTAAGATATACATTATAAATGTCAGACCGTAAATTTTAGATTCCGACACGCATTAAAAAATAACGAAAGGAAGCTGAACATCTGCCAAACCAGATTTTTTTCTGCACTTCAACATGATCAGACTTAAATCAAGCAAGGATGCCAGTGATAATGGTATTAGTTTATCTCTTATTAAATATTATGTATAAGTTTTATGATACATTAATTATCATATAAGTTAAATATTACAACAAACATATATGAAACGACAATAGCAGTGCCTTAGTAAGGAATCGGCTTTCCTTTTCGATCCCAGAATTTTCCTGAATGTTCAGAAACTGTCATCAAATTTACCGTATCCAAAAGCTGTGGAGCTGATTCTGACGGGTCCGTCATTCCCTAAATATTACAAGTTTTTAAAATATAGGAGTACTGCTTCGATATAAGCGCTTTCTCGCAGAACACAATTTCGCAAGTGTATGCGGTGAGCTAGCAACGCTTACGTTGGGCCCTCCCATATCTGTTCGATTCCATCCAGGACATACTGATACGGCCAGTATTTCTGGATTTTCGATGGAAAAGATTCGAGTAAGGTGATTCACAGCTGTCTGAATAAAAACATTGTGATGATCACTAAAAGAGAGAGATTCCGCTACCTTGCTGCACATATAAGCGTAATTTCCATGAACTCGTTCCGTTCCAGGGCACAGTTCTATAGACCCCTTCCTTCCGGAGATATTGATGATCGTAGCTGGGGTTCGATTTGAAAGTGATTTATGCAGCAGAGGAAGGCATTCCTATAAGACATGCATCCGCGTACAATTCAATGCGCTCAAAATGTCTCACTTGAATCATTATCGCGTATGAGACAACATTTATATCAAAATGTCGTAGCCAAACTCCTCTGTCGCCATTCGGAATTCCTGCTTTATGGTCCTATAAAATATAGTTGCTGTCTAGCTTTGAGGATATTTAGCAGGAGAATAAAACACTTCCTCCAGCATTTCACGAAACGACTATAAAAATTATATAAAAAAAGGTGGG